TTTCACAGCATAGAGAAGACGACTTCGAGCGAGAACTATGGCCCTATTCTTGATATATGGACTTTCTTTCTCGCGCGTATTTTTGAAAGGGCACCCCGATGTCTGCCGGTCTGAACCCGATGGATCACGAGAGTACGTCAATTCAGGCATGGAAGCGTGATCTCAGCTCACGAATGATCGCCTTTAGGCTGGGCGGAAATAAAACCCTCTATACTCGATCTCCTTCGTTGTATAGAGAAGGAACAGGTGGCTCGGAGGGAGAAAGCCAAAGATGACGATAACAGCGATGAAGACTGGAACGAAGAGTGGGTAGGTGACGATGGGAGTGCCGATGAAGCACTCGGAACCGATGCCGTCGACAGTGACGGTTATTGATGGCTTCCCTACAAGTCACCTCTGCGCGACTTGCGGGGAGACAGAGTAACACCAAACTCTGGCGAGCAGGGGTTTATTTTCAGACCCGTATTCATGACTTTTGATTAGCTTGTTGTATCACATCGTTTAGTCGTTTGTCGCTTTTGTAATGTCTGGTAATTCTGTGGCGCACCGCTTTCCGTACAGTCGTCTCCCGGGATAAAGCTTTGCGAGAGGAAATGTGATATCTAAAGTACTCCACTCCAGCACTAAATATCTATTTCGGGGGTCAGTGTCTTGTAGAAAGAAAGCACAGCGCATGATGCATGATGGGTTAAGTCCAGGGAGCAATACATCCCACATACAAGCATCAGGAAGTAGAGGATCGATGTCTGTTCGAAGGAGTTCGAACTTCAGCCAAGCGTCCCAATGAGGAGCCTCGACTGCAGTGAATTACGTCAGCGGCGACTCAGCGCATCCTGCGCAACCAAGTTGAAGTCTATCAAGGTCTGATTCTAGTACTTGGGTCGAAACTTGCTATCCCCTTCGGAATCCTCTTACACGGGGAGAGGTGCTGCACGTTGATTCTCTCTTAAATCTTGAAACGGGTGTTGACTGCAGGGGCGAGGTGAGTGTTACTCACGGCTTTGACGATAAACTAGACATGCTTCTTCCATAGCCTTACTCAAGGCAGGTTGAACATGGCGTTTCAATCGCTAACCGGGCGTCAGTCCGCCGCTTCGCCGTCGGTATCGCTAGAAAAGGGAGCGTACCGCTTGAGAGGTCCCGCATGGTCTCGAAAGCGATCACTATCCCGGCCTTTGCCTACGGGAAGGCCAGGATTATCGGGGCCTGCCCAGCTTGGGAACCAGGAGACGCAACTAGCTGTCGTCATTGTCCTTCTGGCGCTGGCCACAGTTAGCTCTTTCGGTGCAGCGTACTATTTGTATTCCACTAGGTGGGCTCATCTGCGAGCGCTTTTCTCGGACGGTCTAACGGTTCTCCTCAAGTCGTCCTCTTTGATGCAAGTCCTTCCGGCGTGGAGCGTGTGGCGTTGGACGGAATAAACCGCTTCCTTTCATATCTGCCCCACAGCGGCTTTAACAATCAACGCATTACTTTGGCAAATGCTCTCGTGTTATCTCGTATGCTGAATCGTACTTTGCTTTTGCCTCCTGTCCGTCTGGGCAATAAATCTCTGCCTTACATGGAGTTTGAGAAGCTGTCTCACTTCGTTTCGTTGTCAGGGAAAGAGCAATCTCGTCGTTGTGCATCCATCCCGACTTCTGCACTTTTGGAATGTTATGAGTCTTATGACTACGCGTTCGTTTCGTGGCATTCACTCATGGACCTATCCGCACTGCAATGGGAGCAAAATATAGTCGAGAGATGGCATCTCAGTGCGGCTCATGTACCATCGAGTCTGATCCAGATTGGGACTCTCTTTGGGTCGGCCCGCCTGCGTCTCAGGTAATCAGGCAATCAGACTCTCCGAGGCGATACTCGGCGAATGATGACTGTCTCAAACCCCCTCCACCGTATAGCGGGCAATATCGGCGACGCGGTTGGCCGTGTGTATCTAGCGGCCCACGGTGTGTTTAGCGAACGTCAACAAGATAACGCGGGGCTGCTCCGTGAGGCCTTAGACTTCGTGGAATGTTTCAGCGTATTGGAGCACCGTTTGGGTAACGCAACCTGGGATCGTACCGACCCCCGTGCTCTCTCCTGACCTGCCAGCGCTCAAAGTTCCTCGGCCCGCTTGATGCCTCTTCTCACGCATGCTGTCGACCGACGGGACACTCACCGACCCTTCTCTTTAAATCCCTCTCGTGAGAGCAATGGTCGTTGGCAATGCGGGGTATGTGGTTGGCACAGATGGGAGCACCTTCAGCGCCTATGTCCAGGTTGTGCTTTGAAGAATACATCAAGGTTGGGAAATAGTCCAGAGGGGATGACTGTAACTCTATTTGCCGTTTCGAAGGGGTCTCTGTAGCATGATCTTTGTATGGCCCTGATAGCACTTTTCAATCAAAGATATCTGGCAGTGTAAGTGCGACGAGTTGTACTTTCAGTTGCGGGCCGTGATCAAGTTACTCGTCAGAGAAGCATTTTTGGTGATGGTCCAACGAATGTTTAGCGTCTGCCCTAATGGAATCGGATCGCATGCATGGTGAGTGGAAAGATACGTGGGTAGGTATGAGGTGCACATCTGATGAGGCATCTTTGGATAAATACGGCCCTGCATCTTACACCTGTAGTACGAAAACACCCCCTCTGAACTATCAGGAAACGCGTCCTCAAGGCTACGAGCAACCTGCCGACGGTACAATGTTCCAAGGACCGATCAATTGTCGATAATTGATCGGCCCTCCAGCGCTCAACTCCGGACTTTCCTGGAAGCCAGTTAGCTCGTGAGCGTCATCGACAGGGAAGCATTTGGCGGTCAAGAGGGCTTGCAAGGAGGTCGGAATCGCGAATTGGCCCGCCGCACTGTTGCTGTCAACGTCGAGAGGGGCAAAGCGGACGAAGGCACCGGTGGCAGCACCAGGTAATCCGTTCCCTCGCGCGAAGTTCCGCCGCGCAGTTTCAAACTGGTCGCGATTAGCCTGGTTGTTCACGTCGTCACCAATAAGTCGCTGCCCATTGGGCGCCGTTTTTGGGAACCATTGCTGGAGGAGGTACACGATGCTGTTAGCAATACATATGGACGGCTGTCAAACTCGACTACCTTTGGAATTGAGTTGATCCACTCATTGGCATCCCTGGCAAATATTTTACAAACAAAAGCCAAGTTCGCCGTCGGGTCCTTATTCGGCTTTCCCTTGCCCTGCTGGCGGTTCACGTTTTCCTTTGCATTCTGGGCGAAGGCCTTAGCACTACATAAACGTTCCGTCAGTGTCTCCATCGATCATGGAACTGATGCACGAACGTAACGAGATCATCAGTGACATATAAGCCTTGTCCCAGCTCCCCATTCGCGCCAGACCCAAATTGCGGAGGCATGATCCCGACACTCTCGAACAGCTGTGCGTTTTGGTTTTGCGTACCATGCCATCCGAGGAACAGTGGATTCGCTCTGGTAACAAGAGTGTGGGTAGAGTTTGCCGGAATATATTCACGAGGCGTTTCTAAGGAATTGGAACCCGAACTTCTGGGCCTAAAGGCGCACTGACAGGGACGAATTGATACATTGGCACTTTTATGTGGTCATTATAAGCACTTACTGCACCACCAGTATTCGTAGGGACTGACGACGCAGTCAATGTCCCATCCAAAGGCAAGGATGGTGTGGCGGTTGACGTGCTATTCAACAGAGACAACGTCGCCGTCTCGGTGCCGTTCAAAGCCGAGGACGACGTGACGGTTGACGTGCTGCTCAGAGTCACGAATGATGTGGCATTTGCCGAAGAAACCGATGTGGGCGCACCGCGGGTAGACGAGGTGAGAGTGGCGGATCCGGCGAGAAGGGTCGATGTCCCATTGGCAGCAGGAATTGAGCTTGCTGCGAGAACAGAACTTGAGCCAAGAACGGAGCTCGACGCGAGAATAGACCTGGACGTGACAAGAGAGGTGGACGACAGTGTGGCGGGTGGAGAGGACACCGGAGCTGAAGAACTGAGGAAACTGGAAAGGCTGGTAGTCACTGGAGTGGGTGAGCTCCGGACTACAGACCCACTACTAGCAGCGATACTCCTCACGGATGAAAGCGGACGTGCCTGAGAAGGCGCATCAAGTTAGTTCATAACTGCATCAGGCTGGAAATGATCAACTCACAGATGTTCTCGCGATCGTGGTATGTACGGCTTTTGAGGTTACAGGAGGAACCGTAACCGGTCTAGTGGTTCTTCCCACTGTGACAGGAGGTGCTTTACCTGCCCCTCCGCCTTTACCTGCTCTGGAAGGGGAGAACGTACGCCCTTCGAGGATCGGAGCCTGGAGCATATTATATTAGCCGTCAGCTGAGAGAACAAAGCATACAAACCCACATCAATGGGAGCTGCCACTATGCCCTGTAGGTTCAATAGAAAGAAACACAGGACAAGGAGGCGGGCGAAGAAGTGGCCATAAGGCATCTTGCGTTGTGCTGGCCGAACATCGCGGAAGGCAGGTTAATGAAGAATATAGGGCACGATATCATCCAATAGCTTACGGAGATCAAAGAGTGGCTTGAGTTATAAATCGGAAGCACCGGGCTTCAAAATGCTGTTACGCGGATGTAAGAACGGAGACAGTTTAGCCCAAGCAAGTGAGTAAATGGGACATACCAGATGTAGAACGAAGACGGGCGGAAACAGTTCACTGCCCACCTCCATTAGCAGATGAGTCTTTAAATACCGCCAGAGGATACCACTGGAGACGGCATAGCCTCTAACAATTCGGCCTATGATGAATCAGTCGTCTGCTCCATGTAGGTCAATGCGCTACGACGCGCGATAGCGAAACACATTAGACAACCACCAAACAGACATCGTCCTGGATCCCGGTCTCCGGCATGATAACCCCGGACGCAGGTTGAACTGGGACTAGAATATGGCCATAGCATAGCATGCCATCCGAGTCTATAGATGTATCCCAGTATGCACCACATGAGCTGGCTATTGGTGAATTGCGGAAGACCAGTTACTAGCACGATAACACGGAGGAGACAGTGTTTGTCATGGAACACGGGAGCAGCCGACAGAGATTTTAAACAATCAGCACTCAAGTCATCGCTTGAGCAGACAAGATGGTCCTTGACCTATAGGCTTGCAATACAACGATCCGGTCATCCACATGAATACACTCGTCGGGGCTAAGCATGGCTGGCAACGATTGGTGAAACAAATCTGCTGAGAGACGAAGTCCTTGAGAATGTGTGTGCCGTGGTCACCGGGTAACCCGTATACTTCATCAAATATACTTACAGTAGACTTATCTCGTACATAGCGTCGGATCCCAGGTTCGGCTATGCATTACGAGGTCGTATATGCCATCGAGGTACTGTCACAAAAATGTGACACTCCCAATCAGCGTGACAAACAGGCTATGCACAGCGGTACTCACAGCGGGCAAGCACCGATGTCCCGCCACCGGACATTCGTCATTCATGAAATAGGTGGGAGAACACTTTCCTTGCATGCTCCGAAGTGGGACTTGGCAGAGACATAAAGAATGAGAGAACAATGTCAATCAAATGTCCCCTGATTTTTAGAGACCATAGTAAATGTCCCGCAGACCTGCCTTTGTTCATTCAAGGGACATTCTCCATGTCCAGGTTGTGGTCCAACAAAGACCATTCCAGGAAAGTGTTCTCCCAACCGGGGCATGTTCATAGCATGCTCGCCGGCGGAACATCGGTCTCTGCCCGCAGTGACTATCATTGGGGGGGAGTTTGACAATATTTCACTGTTAAGCTCGTATCTCCTTCAGTTTTGAAGATATTTGGGCGCTGATTTGACCGATCGATGCGAAATTGCGTGTTCTATCATAATATTGAGAGATCTTTATAAAAATTCTGCGTTCTTGCTATTCCGGCAGCAAAATACTGGTTTCGGCACGATTTCGCTTACACCGGGGGGAGAGTTTGACAATCAGTCACACAACTGTCACACCGGCTGCGGCAATCTCCAGGCGGCATTCCCTTTCAGGAGCACCATTCAACTACGCCTTGGCCCTTCAATTGGGCATATACTGCAGCAAAGAAAGGAAATATTGTGCACAACAGGTCATTTGCTTCCTTGTAGCATGGATACAGCTCGTATGGTAAGTCCTATCTATGAGAACGTCGAACTTGCAAAACCCACCGGGTCACCGGTGCGCGCACACGCAAATGCATCTCCAAGCTCCGCTTGAATTCCACAGTCACGCCCTGCCTCGACAGAGCTTTGGACAAACACCTGCCTGACGTCTAGCAAAGGATTCCGTCTGCCTGGAGCATATCGGGCTTGACGGATAGACTCTCAAGGACCTTAATGATGGATACTCCAGGTTGTTTTATTGCTCTGGGACATACCGTGCATGAGATCTGTTCAAACGCGTTCCGCAGTACAGGCATATTGACGCGTTTTGCGTGTTTCCTGACAATGCAAGGAGAAAAAAATTATTATGAGCTTAGAGACATGACTGGTACATACATACCCATACACATGCCAATTTCTGAAGTCAAATATGGGATGTGGAAAGAGTTACAAGTGATTTATCATTTTGTCAAACCCAATACCCGTGTCAAACTCCCCCCCCCCAATGATAGTAAAGAATGGCAACTTCCCAGAGCTTTCAACCCAAACCCGGGAATAGTGATAAGTACCAGTATGCATATGCATGAGAAAACCGAATTACACGCTGCCTTGTGCATGATTCAGACCGGGTGGTAACTTCGGCTTCATATGGCCGTCGGTTCCCAGATTATTATGCATAACAAGATATTATGCATGAAACAATAGGAACTTTGGTTCCGGTTCGAGCTATGTCCAAAATCTTGCTTTGCATCACTATGACATGTTACGAGAAACTCTACTCTACTGTTAGGCTTGAAACTTCGCCTCTCAAATAAGACTTAGTAGACGAGCAACTGTCTTATAAGGAGGCTTGTTAATTTTTAGTATTACCGCCGCAGAAGTCCCCCTGAAGCTCACGCGTCTGCCAGAAAAGGCAGCCTCTTCTCCCCAAAACGGCAGGTGCGCGACCGATGGACTGGAAGCCTCTTGCCGCACTTCGGCATGTGTATGCGCGACTCTCAACAAACTCTCAACGTAAGGTGCTCGATTAGGCGAATTATTCGCCATAGATTAAATCCAGTGAAAGCATAGAATAGTCGCCAATAGGTAGCCTACACGCCCAACCCAGCCTGAGGTTGCAAGGACCCCGGGACTTTGACGTCGAAGCGATGTTCGTTCCGGGCGTTCACGAGACATCCGATCGAGATTACACAGACCATGCGAATTGACGGCTCCTGTTGGTGAGAATGACCTCAAATTGAGGTCACAATAGAGGTCCTTTTCGCGTCCTGCCTCGGATGTCATGAATCCCTCGTATGCATAGTATACATTAAATGAATTATATCAAGTATACAACTCAGGGACTAGTACTATGGACATTTGAGCCTGAAATGTCTATATATCAGGAATGGAATCTGCCGCCATGTCGACTGTGGCCTGACTGAGATTTTGGGACTCCTTGGCCTTTTTGTTGCGAGCTCTAGTCGCGGCTGCTTTCGCGGCGCTCTCAGCACGCTTCGCCGGTCCTGATATTTGAAGCCCCCGAGCAATCTCAGCTAGCCTCGCAGACCGGTTTGGTTGAAGATAATGGCGTGGGGCTGTCAGCTGCCGGGGAAGTACCTCTCGCACCAGTGCTGCATTGTGGATGGCGTGCATGTTCAAAATGAACTGATCATCATCCAAGTGCACAATGCACCGCTCTTGCAGGCTCGTTGGACATCGTTCTTGTTGCACCGGCCGCAAAGCTGTTGGACTACAATTACCTGCTGCACAGTCGTGTTGCGCATTGAATAAAAATAAAAGGTCCTGATGCATATATTTAGAGGCAATGATAGACATCCGGTTTGATGTACGCACCGCAGATGCAACTGAGACGACTTTCGGCCCGTTCAAGGTTCTTGTTAAGATAGGCATTTTGAGACGATTATGTAGTGCGCTGGACACCGTAAAGCGCTCGACGAGTGCAAAACCCGTATCGCAGGTGGTCTTCGAAGTCTCCGGAGAAAGGATCTTGCAGATGCGACCACAACTGACCTCTTGATTCGGGCCCTGGTGAATACTGATGAGCCATGATATTCTCTCGAATAGATGGACGGCGTACATACACCTACGCTGCGGTAGAACACCCACGATCCGGTACGGCAAATGTCTCGCGAGCGTGATACACAGGATTCTCCTTGCTGCCACAATAGCCCGCTAACACCGGGCTCTGCAACGTGCAATGTTCCTGTCTGATCAAGGGCCTCGCGCCACACTTTGCTTGATCGTTTGCGTCTTGCTACCATCTTCACAGAACCTATAACGCAAAGTTAATAAAACCTCGAAGTTCTAGATTGAGCCTCACCGATTTGCAGGGAGCATGTATCGACCCACCCGAGACGCCTTTGCAACTGAGGATTCTCTCGCAGAAACGCGCGTACATTCTCACCCGCTCGTACATATTTGCCGGAGTCCGACCTCCACCAGCCACCACTGACTTGGTGCTTGAAGCGCTCCATGTCTGCCAGTGTCAAAGCAATGTCACGGCTGGGCGCCTGGCGGTTGGAGAGAACACTACAGAGCCGGAAGATAGCATTCCAGCATTCAAAAATCTCCGTTGCGAAAAGCAAGGCTGGCCCAAACCGTCGAATGTCCTCCAAGATGTGCGGGAGGGCATGCAGCTTCGGCTTCTGTATTATACGGCTCGGATCGATCAATGCCCAGATATCCAGGACATTGTCGATTAGGATTGACACGTCGGCCTGATCCAGGAACATTAGTTTGATTTAATTAATTAGAATTTGCATACTATTACCAGATAAGCTTTCATGTCGTTAATCTGGTGGTACCAAAGGTAGGCCCCTAGCTCCCCAGTTGCTCGCCACAAGTCAAACATGAGATCCGAGCATAGGTCCCCGTGCAGATGAAATATTGCAACCTGCTGTAATGCTTTGAAGTGTCGCCCAACAAGAGCATTCTTATATTGCACCATATATTTTGCTCGAACTGGGGGAAGAACCAAGCCGTCAACGGCCGATGACTGAAGCCGGAGAGCGAACAGCTCTTGTTTCTTCTCGTCCCAACCGCCGTGAGTAGCATACCAAACGTATTTGTCTTGCCCAAGCAGATACGTGTGAAGAATCTCTACCGGAGTGGCATCATGTATGTTGACTCCTGATGGAAAAGCCGCCAAGGGCCGTTAAGCCACAGTCAGGGGTACAAATAATGGGGATACGTGCCTGGCATTGCAAGGGCTGGATTGTAGTGGTCACCAGGTCTCACGCAGCGCCGAAGTGCTGCGAAGCAATTTAACTTAAAATGAGTCACTGGAACAGTTTGTGCGATCTACGAACGGGAATCGAGCGGTAACACACTATACCGCTCCGAGGGTTGACTCAGGAGCCAATCGAAGACCTCTTCCTGGACTTTACAGATGATTTCATTTTTGACAAGCTTGCGGGCTTCGCCTTTCAAAGACTTGTCCTTTAGGCGGAGATCTCGGGTCGCCTCATTACTCAGTCGTTCAACTTGAAGACTACGTGCTTTGGTAATGCATTGGTCGATCCAAAATGACGCAATCTTGTCCTTTACGCCCGTTCGGGTCTGCAGCGCGTCAACTGCTTCTTGAACGCCTAAGCACGCAGACCATAGCTGATCCTTTATTACTTGCACCGTCTCGGCACACGATCTGGGATCTCCAGGCTACCGAAATCAATTGTAACGGTCAAGCAGCATCACGTTCGGGGACAACCGACCTTGAAGAGTGCTTGATAACCCTCACAGCTCTCCTTGTCATCTGCACCTCCTCCGACTTTGCACCGCCGGCAAAAAAGATTCCCATGCATGCCAATATGAGAACAGGTCTCTGATTGCTGGGGATTGTCAGCGGGGAAGATATGTGGCAATATACGGAAGATAATCTCTTCTCCGAGCACACAATCATATGCAGTGTACCACTGATCAGGTTTCCTTTAAGCATATTCCATCTGTAAGCTCGCGAATCAGGTGACGAAAGTATTTCTGTTAACTTACATCTTCTCCGATAGTGCGTCCAGCTGCTCAGAGGATGATGCATGCTGGGACGTAGAACAAAACCGCACAAAAAACTCTTGTGCAAGCTTCTGATGTGGTAGAGTACTATTTGCAAGGTACGTATTGACATGTGGGTTAAATTGCTTGCTCACGTTGCCCGATACATCATCGCTCCATGGTGTAATGAATAGTGTGAATGCCGAGCGACCCTTCGCGATCTTCCGGACAGGATGTGGCATCTCGTTTGCCCACGACGGGGCGGTCTCTGCAGTTTCATACCAGAAGCAACACCTATCTCGCCTATGGACAGGAGACATACCTGGGAAGTGAAACTTAAGGCCTTCACCCGACTCTGTCAAGTCAAGGTAATTGCTTTCAAATTCAGAGGCATTCACCCGGCTGACCGTTCCAAAATCTGCATTTGTCACCCCCGTCTACGGTGAAGTTTCAGTTTCAGGAACCAGCACGAGAACTCAAGAAGTTACTGACGAGCGGGTCATGAATGACATTGCATACGTCAGCGTGCATAGTCCCATCCTGATTTATCCAACGGAAAGGTATGACGAGTCGCCCATCTTGTAGGCGTGCTATCTCCTTGACATAATAATGACGGTGCGGCGCCTTCTTCCTGTCTGCCCACATTGGTGTCAGGAGATCCAGGTCCGTCTCCTCGGCCCATTTTCCTGCTTGCCAGGCTTCTGACACTTTCGGGGAAATTTCCGGATATAGGTTCATATGCTCTCGCACCAGAGGATTGGCCCAATCCTGCCATTCCCTGTTGGTATTAACATTCACGTTTGTAGCAGGGTCACGGCATACCATCGCAAAAAGCTGAATAGGATCATTCATGCAAAAGTGATTTCCAAGCGACGACGTATGACTCTCCGTTTTAAGTCCCATATCTTTCGTTAACTTGGTCTGTAAGGTGCGTAATGACTTAAATGACGGGACATCAGCGGTTTCGCACTCGCGCATCACCCATAATATAGCAAGCATATGGGTATCAGACAGGCGCAAGCGCGGCAAATTGTCCAAGAGGTCCAACATGAACATCTTTAAGGTGAAGTCAGGTCCAATTTAAGCCGCAGCTCTGAAGCGTTGACGAGCTTACCGTCTTGGACCCGTATGGCTCCCAGCCATCTTGTGATATCCGCCCTGGCCGATCCTGTTCCTCACATTCCTCCTCATCGTCTTCCACACCTGGCCAGTTGACGTGGAATCAGCAGAGCCAATGAGATCGCACATATTTGTCCAACTTCTCACCCATCAGACGCATGGCCCGAATGATATCAGGAACTGTAGGATCTTCTTCGATATCGTCTGCGGTAAGCTCTTGTCCAAATAAACTGTGACCTTCGCAAAGCTCCAACCATTGCATTTGCTCATGCAGATGGTGTCGAGTCTCGTTTGCCCCGCTGCTCTCCCCTGCAGAGAAGACCGTCCTTTCACCGTTGGGGTAGAAGTACTCATCCCCGTCGACGATCATATTATCAAATAACGATCCGCCAGGCGCTGAAGGCCCATCGTCAACCATCTCATCCTCCGAATCCTCGAGAATAGCTGCCAGTGAGAGAAGTGCAGGTCTCGAGGGTGCGGTCGCATTTGCGGTGGAAGGCACAGGTGTATTGGGGACAGCAAAAGTGGTGAGTCGCTTAGAATTATCATGTTTCTTCGTGAGGAGATGGTCCGGTGCCTTTCGTTTCGTGACCAAGACCTCTTTGCGGAGACGTTGCGAGCAAAGGATGCATATTAATTTTGTGTTGTCAGATGAACATTCCGCAAAGCCTGTGGATCATTAATGATCGTGTCAACGAGTATGAACTGCCTGTACCTGCCTTCAGGAATGACGGTGGCACGGGGCATCTCTAAACTGAAAGTGCGTAGTGTCACTTAATCCTTGTCGCGACAAACGCGTTCTCATTAGCGAAGTCCGCATTTAGCACGTGACTGCCCAACGGAACGACTTTACGTTCAGGGCTTGCACTGTCATCTCGTTTTTGTTTCTGCTCCTCATTCCAACTCCCTCTCATTTTTTCCCTCATTTTTTCGTAATTTTCTTTCTTTTGAAACTACTCTACTTCCATTAATCCCGTGTAGCCATGTTGTCGATGGCCGATATGCTCAACAGGGAGTCAAGTCCTCCTGCTCCATCGACTGACTCGGATGACATGCCGAGAACATCTGAATCGCCACACAGGTCAAGTCCAGACCCTGCTGGCTCTTCTCCTGCCGCAGTGACAACACGCAAACGACCGGCGGAAGACCTTTCTCAGTTCGCTCAATCTATCGCAAGGAAGAAGCGGTTGCGCCCTGAGGACAGCGACGAGCTCATATCTTATTCAAAGGTCTCGTTTCAATTTCCTTGCTTTCTGTATGCTAATGTTGAGTCGGATCTTCTTGGTGTTCTACAAATAGTTGTCTCGCAGTGAGAAGGACATATGGCTGGCATCAACACTCTTGTCCATCGAGGGTACCGTCAGTCAACTGCATGCGCCTGATTCCCAATGGGACTTGCCGTCGATGTTGAAGGTATGTACCTATGGCACTATTGGGTTCATGATGAAATTAATGCCTCACGTGCTACAACATCGGTGGATGCAGAAGAAGATTGACATCTATTCTGCAACAATCATTCTTGCTCCGACAATTGCTGCCTACGTTAGCAACGACGTGCCGCGGAAGCTCTTGCTCGTGAGTGCCAAACGCCAATGCTTGTCAGCTTACCGCTCATTCCTTCCAGGAGATTCTCGAACGCCACCCGAGCTGGGGCTACAGGCCCGATGTCAAGGAGAATCCTTACCGGCACAATATTGTGGTGTCCTTCATATCTGCCAAGTTGACTTCACGGAGGTATACGGCTAAGAAAATTGTAAGTTCCATTACTCTATATCATCAGCTAAGGTCATTGATGCATTGCGAGTACCCCACAGATCGCGGAAAGCATCGGCGAGGCTCCCGAGGATCCGGCAGACGTGAAACGTGCTGATGCTCTTGATATCCTCGCCTTATGTGAGAGGTTGACAGCAAATGTCTTCAAGGCGGCGAAAATCGTTGTTACCGTACCGATGTGTGCCAGGATCGCCTTTCTCGTAGGCTATTTCTCATCTGCATTATTCACCCAGCTGATCACTGGCACACAGAGGCTTATATATATCGGGAAGCCCGATGCAGGGGAGAAGTTCTGGAGCATCGCCGACGACAACCTCAAAGATTTCCGGGCCAAGTTTTCCAATGATCAGAGGAAGATATCGAGGTTGGTCATCTGTCTCTCAAACTTCATGCCTTGCTCATTGATTCATGCGCAGCAAATTTGCGAAGATCCTTACGCAAGACCGTCAAGTGTACGGTGATGTGGATATCAGTTATATGCTGAAGAGTGCCTGCATGAATGCAGCTCAGCGCGAAAGCGAGGACGTGCACGCCGGGATCGAGCCAGCTCCCGTTGATGATGCAGAGCAGAATGAGGAGGTTTAGATATTCATGACCTGATCGGACGGAAGGATGGAACATGCTACTTAGCTGTACATTCAATTTAATCAGTAGTAATTTTTTATCAGTACATCAGCTACCAACAATCAGATGTCGTCTTCTGCATGACCTTGACTATATCATCCTCCGTGCTCTGGTGAATATGATGAAGAGATTTATCTTAGCTTCTTGAAGTGACCTTCGTACCCTTTGTTGCATGCAATGCGAAGACTCAAGCGGGACTCATTTGACGACAGGTCACACAGTCGCATGAGATGCATGAGCTGTCGCTGGGACGCCTAATCCGAAACCTCCTCTGGATGTTATGTCCTGAGCTCCTATCGACATCACGATTTTCCGAGCTCGGATCTATTTTCACTTTTTATATTACGCAGATGTATGGCCGATCTCCAGTCGACATCATGGCTCGGTCCCGGCAGGGTCCGAGACTGAGCTTCTTGAGTCCTTTTCCCAGGATGGGCGTGTAGCGTAGGACGGGCATAGAGAGGAGGTGAGCGGCGTGTCGCGTCTGCGATGTCTAGCAAGGAAAGCGCACATGGCTTACCATTGCCACGGTGCCTTCAGTACTAAATAAAGCGGGGGACGCTGCCTAAACGGGCGCAAGGTAGGGTTCCGTAAATTTGGGAGGTGAAAATTACACTTGCTAATTAGCAGTTGTAAATTAGCGTTAATTACATGCTAAAGTGATGGTCCCGGTTTTGACCATGTTAATTTCAGTTAATTTGACCCATTCGGTACCTAGCCTACATCCGGACATAACCCTCTCTTGTGGGTCCACCTATTGTACTTCTCATACCCTGCGTCAGCGTAGATACTAGTACACATTCCTGTAAACGCCTGTGGCATATGAAACATGATCATACTAGCCGCCACGTGCGTGTTGTCAAGTGGGAGCAGACCGAAAATCCGCAAGTGCATATTCTTGCTGAAAGCCGGTCAACCATGACAGACAAACGGCATGCTAAAGACATAGAACTCCTGCGACTATACCTACAAGATCTCCCGAATGAATTGCCCTTACGTTCTGCCCAAGATTCGTCCTATGGTTTCCACGCATTTGGGCTTGACGAGGAATGGCTGAAGGAAGAGGGTCAGGAAGCAGCCGCAAACCGCCAGCTTGA